ACTAGGCCCGAAACGTCAGCCTCTCTGCTCCTATGCTGCTGCTTGGCCTGCTGTGTTCATCCAGCCCTGCACCTTGTTGTCACCAGGATGTTGCCTGGTCTTGAGAGAATTAGCTATGAAGAAAGGTTAAAAAGTCTAGAATTATTTTCACTGGAAAGGCGGTGGCTGAGAGGGAACCTGATAGAGGTGTGCAAAATTATGAGATGCATAGATAGGGTGGAATATCAGAGGCTTTTTCCCAGGGTTGAAATTTCAATTACAAGGAGGCACAGGTTCAAGGTGAGAGGGGGAAAGTTTAAGGGAGATGTGCAAGAAAACTTTTTCACGCAGGGAGTGGTAGGAGCCTGGAATGCACTGCCAGAGGAGGTGGTGGAAGCAGGCACATTTGCAACATTTAAGAGACATCTGGATGGTTACATGAATAGGGAGGGAATAGAGGGATATGAACCAAATAAGGCAGAAGGTTTGTTTTTTAGTTTAGTTAGGGCATAATGATCGGCACAGCCTTGGAGGGCCAAAGGGCCTGTTTCTGTGCTGTACTGTTCTTTTGTTCTTTATTCTTCTTGAATTATTTCCCAAACTCTACTATTAAAGGTTATTTAGAACTTGATTATATTTGGAAAACAAGAGAAAAAAAACATGGTGACATTGATGGGACTGGTATAATTGCAGTTGAAAAGATAACAACAGGCTGCCTTCTAACTTTGTCTTGGCCGTGGAACTAAGTAACTTTCTGGCTCACTGTAGAGGACGTTAGATGCCAGTGACATGGATTCTTGAATCACATGATGAGACTGGATGTTGAAACAGACTTTTATGACACTCCAGCTGTCTTGGTCTTCTTTTTGGTAACAGCCTCCATATTATCATCTTTCATGGAATTTACTTTTTGGATTTGAACTTCAGGCTTTGATCTAGTACCTATCAGTGATTTTAATTCAGTCAATATTTCCTAGTTTTCATATTTGTCCTTTTCCGTATGACTGGGGCTGAGATTTAAAGCTGATCAATCTGTTTTAAACTCCTAACCCTATCCTTGTAAGTGTCAATCCAAATATTATGTTGGAGGGGAATGGGACGTGCATGTACATAGTACCTTTAATGCAGGACCATAACGAAAAGTTGTCCACAACACTGTAATCAGACAAAAAAATAACACAGAGCACAGGAAGGACATTGCAGGAAGAGTGTCCCAAAGCTTTCTGATGAGGGACATTTCAGGAAGCATCTGACAGGAAGAGAGAGCCAGAGAGATTTGAGATGGGATTGCAGAGTTTGGGACAGAAATGACAGAAGTCATGATGTCCAGCAGTTGTGGATAAGTGATTGAGGGTGTGCAAGAGGCTAAAACTGAAGAATAAATCTCACTCTGTATTTGTGTCACTATTTCATAATCTGATTTTTCCTGCATCTGTACATTCAAAGTAAATATGGCCAATGATTTGGTCCAGCTGTATCTGATGCTTTTGTTTAGGTTCTGAATATCCATACCAAGCAAATGCAGTATCACAATCAAGCACAAATTTATCTGCTGCTGTCTGTACATTAACTTACTAAGAAAAATAACAAACAAATTATAAAAAAAATTGCAGGCAGAATGAAATATCAGAATATTAATTCAGGCTTATCCAAGGCATGCAATAGTGCTAAATTATGTCTAACAAGACTCTGATAGAAGACTCATACAAGCAAAATACTGTGGATGCTGGAAATCTGAAATAAAAACAAAATACTGGAAATAGCAGGTCTGGCAGCCCATATGAAGAGAGAAACAGAATTAACACTTCAAGTCTAATACAGCTCCTCTTCAGAAAGCATGAACTCTTGTTTCTCTCTCCACAGATGCTGTCAGACCTACTGAGTTTTACCAGCACTTTGTTTTTATTCCCAGTAGAAGCTCAATTTGTTTGACACACGTGTAAATCTTGATTCTTAAATTCTTATAATTTTTAATCACATGCTCAATGAGATGCCTAACTTGCCTTTTCGAAAAAAACATTGAATTAGCAACATACTTACTAGTATCTGTTCCACCTTTTCGCAATTCATGAGAGGGAAATCTCAACATTAAATTTTTGAGAATTGATTTCCAAGACAAGTGAACTTTCAGAATTAGCCAATTTAGAAATCAAAGCAAAAGGTATATTTTTGAAGAGTTTATACATGATTTTGCCCTGTTTTGATCATTTTACTTCCATTCACTCAGTTGAACAATGCATTGTTATTCATCTGATAAATTCACAAATGAAGAATCTTCAGGTCATTGGTGCTGCAGGTATCATTACTGTGAGTATAGGATGACATTCCAGACCAATCAGAAAATTATGGAAGAAGAAAATAATAAATTCATCTGCAAGATTTGCATGAACCCTTAGAATATGATCCCTCTCTGATTCTGTTGTACTCATGTAGTCACGTATATTTCAGTGTTTGTAGAAAAATACCAGAGCCGTCCATTTTTTACTTGAACATGTGGAATTCTACAGGCCTTTGTTTCGGAAACAAATTTTCTAATTTGTTGTCATCTCCTTTTTGTAGCAACACGTTTTCAATCGATCTCATTTGTGAATTGAAGAATCAGTACTTTATGCATTTTGTCATTACTCTTTTTGTAATTTTGAACTAGTTTGTGTCTTTTAATGAGAATGTTTTGAACTGAGAGAACAAAATTAATTTTAAAAATTTACAATTGTATAACTGTTCAATTGTATTTACATCTTTATAAACATAATTGAATTATGCGTAAATGAACACGTCTCTGGATGGAAATGGATTGGAAATGTTAGATGTAGGACTTTATGGATTTGGCCTGTCCCAAAGGTATATGGAGGGTAGATTAGTTTGAAGAACAAGAATAAATAAAACTGAACAAGAAATTTATTTCTCATTTTTCTTTTCAGATTATTCCAGTAGAAAGATTAGTCAAAGGAAAATTCCAAGACAACTTTGAATTTGTTCAGTGGTTCAAGAAATTCTTTGATGCAAACTATGATGGAAAGGAATATGACCCAGTTTTAGCAAGACAAGGACAGGAAGTATTTACACCACACAACCCAGGTGATCAGATATTCAGCAAACCAAGACGACCTGTGGGCACTGCAGGTAAATTTCTAATTGCCTGTTGTATTATGGAATTTTGTCTTTTCTGAGCGTACTGATGACAAATGCTGTTATTTCTAATGCTAAGCTGACATGCAGCGAATGTATGCTGAAGATTGATATCAAATATGTAGCTACTGTTGATCAGTATTAAATTGTTTATATACAAAAAATGTGGTGTATACTGACTAAAAGAAGAGGAGTATTGTAAGAAAGAAAAAAATTGAAGTGTGGGGGACCCATGTTGAGGAAAATAAAAAAAAAAATACTATTCTATACAGGAAAGGGGAGGATGTTATGTGGGGAAAGAGAATGGAAACAGGTGCAACAGAAATGGCATGTGTTGAAAGACCCAAAGGCCATTCTTGGAAATGATTGCCAGTGGGATCAAGGAAGAAAGGCATCTGGAAGAGAGGAGTGCCTTGAACTTTGCTTGAACAACCAGAATAAAGGAAGCAACAGGGGAAAAATCAGTTTTTACAATAGTGCATTGATGAAATTATGCCCATCAATCATAATAAGTAGAAATATCTTAAATGGATTTTAGGGTGTAATTATTTTGCTTGGACAGTACTTAAAAGGCCTCGCATCTTCAATTCTCGGTAAAGTTAACCTTCAAAACTTTCCTACCCATATCATCACTTGCATTAAGTTCCTTTCATCTGTAATCTTTGTCCTAGCTGACCTATATTGTTTCTGGTCACTCTCTTGCCTTTGGGGAAGCAGTGGCCTAGTGATATTATCAGTAGACTATTAATCTAGAAACTTAGCTAATGTTCTGGGGAACCGGGTGCAAATCTGACTGTGGCAGAGGGTGGAATTTAAATTAAATTTAAAAAAGTCTGGAATTAAGTGTCAAATGATGACTGAAAAACCATTGTCAGGAAAAACCAATCTGTATGACTAATGTCCTTCAGGGAAGGAAATCTGCCATCCTTACCTTGTCTGGCCTACACGTGACTCCAGATCCACAGCAATGTAGTTGACTCTGAACTGCTCTCTGATGAGCAATAAGTGTTGGCCGAGCCAGAAACGCCCACATCCTGTAATTGAATAATTAAAAAAAAGCTTCCTTACATGCGATCTGTTCACGTCTTCATTCTTACCCCTCCGTATAACTGTAACTTATTCCAGTCAGGATATATTGTGAATATTAAAAATTATTCATCACTATCTTGCGAACCAAATTTGCAATTGAATCATTTAATTTTCTTTGTTTGTTGTTGGGATATGGATGTTTCTGACAAATCTGACACATTACCCCTCCAAATTGTCCTGAGATGACAATGGTGAGCCACCATGAACTGCCGTGGTCTGTGTTTTTTGAACCACTACAGTGCTGTTAGAACTGCTGTCCAGGATTTTGACACAGGAACAATGAAATAATTTGTGGTCAGGATGGCGTGGGAGTTTTGTCAAGTGAAACTATCAGGTTGTGGTTCCTATGCATCTGCCTTTTATTCTTTTAGGAGATAGAGGCCTTGGAGGGTGCCTTAGTTATTTGCTGCAAAGAAGAACAAAGAACAATACAGCACAGGAACTGGCCCTTTGGGCCTCCAAGCCTGCACCAACACATATTGCCCTTCCATACTAAAACTATCATCACTTACAGGATCCGTATCCCTAAATTCATGTATTCATCTAGGTGCTTCTTGAATGCTGCTATTGTGTTTGCTTCCACCTCCTCCTCCGGCAACGCGTTCTAGACACTCAGCACCCTTTGAAAAACTTGCCTCGCACATTTCTTTTAAACTTACCTCTGTCACACTTTGAACCTGTGTCCCCTAGTAACTGACCCCTCCACCCTGGGAAAAAGTCTCATACATTCCACTCTATCCATGCCATTCACAATCTTTTAAACTTCTATTAGGTAGCCCCTCAACCTCCTGCGCTCCAGTGAAAACCTAAAATCCCCCATATCAGGCCACATCCTGGTAAACATTTTCTGTACCCTCTCTCGAAAGCATCCACATCCTTCTGGTAGTGTGATGATCGAGACTGTACGCAGTATTCCAAGTGTGGACTAATGAATGTTCTTTAAAGCTGCAAAATAACTTGTCTATCCTTATACTCAATGCCCCATCCAATGAAGGCAAGCGTGCCATAAGCCTTTTTTACTACTTTATCCATCTGGGCTGCCACCATCAGCAATCTGTGGACATGCACACTCAGTTCCTGTGCCTATCAATACTCCTAAAGGTTCTGCCATTCAATGTTTAATTTCTACCTGTACTTGATTGACTGATTTATTGTCGTGTCCCAAAGTACAGTGTAAAGCTTTGTTTACGAGCAGTACAGGCAGATCATAGTAAGCAATGATGTACAGATCAAAAAGACTAAGAGGTATACAGGTTACATTCCACAGGGCGTGCGCTAGGCAAGATCAACGCTAGTAAGATCAGCATTATTTGAGGCCAGAGAGTTCATTCATCAGTCTAATAACAGCCGGGAAGAAGCTGTTCCTAAACCTGCTTGTGCGTGTGTTCACGCTTCTGTATCTTCTGCCTGATGGAAGAGGTAGTAAGATATCATTACCGTAGTGCGATAGGTCTTTGATGGCAGCCTTTCTGCAGCAGCGAGCCATGTAAATATTGTCCACAGATGGAAGGTTGACTTCCATGATGGTCTGGGCTGTGCACACCACCTTTTATGGTTTCTTATGGTCCTGGTCAGAGCAGTTGCCATACCAGGCCATTATGCACCCGGACAGTATGCTTTCAGTGGTGCATTTGTAGAAGTTGGTGAGCATCCTGATGGACATTTCAAATTTCCTGAACCTCCTGAGGAAGAAGAGTCATAGTTGTGCCTTCTTAACCCTTGCTTCTACTGGGAAGTCCAGGATGAGTTATCGGTATCGTCACTCGGAGGAACCTGATACTCTCCACTCTCTCAACCTCAGTTCTGTTGATGTAGATGGGGGCGTGTTCTCCTCCTTTCTTTTTGAAGTCAATGGTTACTTCTTTAGTTTTGCTGACGTTGAGAGAGAGATTGTTTTCATCGCACCACGTCACCGAGCCCTCTAGCTCCCTTCTGTATTTTGACTCCTCATTTTTAGATATCCATCCCACTATGTTGGTGTCGTCAGCGAACTTGTTGACGGCAATCGTTCGGAATTTGGCAACACAGTCATGGGTGTACGGGTGTACAGGAGTACAGTTGGGGGTCTGAGGACGCATCCTTGGGAGGGCTCCAGTGTTGAGCGTTATTGTGGAGGAGGTGCAATTACCTATCCTCACTGCAGTCTGTGGGGCAGAAAGCTGTGTATCCAGTTGCAGAGGGTGGAGCCAAGACCAAGGTCACACAGTTTTGACATTCCAAAGTGCATCACCTCACATTTGTCCTCAGTGCAGTTTCTATTTAATATACATAGCTGCCTCTGTGTACGAGTGGTGGAGGAAGTGGAGTGTTTAAGGTGGTGGATGAAATGCCTGGGTAATGTTGACCTTCTTGAGTGATACTGAATGTGCACTCATTGAATCATAGAGATATACAGCACAGAGTCAGACCCTTTGGTTTAGCTTGTCCATGCTGTCCACATATCCTATATGAATTCAGTCTCACTTGCCAGCATTTAGAACATAGAACATAGAACAGTACAGCACAGTACAGGCCCTTTGGCCCACGATGTTGTGCCGAACTTTTACCCTAATCCTAAGGTCTATCTAACCTCCACCCCTACCTTATACTATCATCCATATGCCTATCTAATAGCCGCTTAAATGCCCCTAATGAGGCCAACTCCACTACCCGCTCCGGCAATGCATTCCACACCCCGACCACTCTCTGAGTAAAGAACCTACCTCTGACGTCTCCCCTATATCTACCTCCACTCACTTTAAAAGTATGCCCCCTCATAATAGCTACCTCCATCCTAGGAAAAAGTCTCTGGCTGTCTACTCTACCTATACCTCTGATCATTTTGTACACCTCTGTCAAGTCATGTCTCATCCTTCGTCGTTCTAAAGAGAAAAGCCCTAGCTCTCTCAACCTTTCCTTGTAAGGCCTTCCCTCCATTCCAGGCAACATCCTGGTAAATCTCCTCTGCACCTTTTCCAACGCTTCCACATCTTTCCTGTAATGAGGCGACTAGAACTGGACACAATACTCCAGATGTGGCCGAACCAGGCTTTTGTATAGCTGGAGCATAACTCCATGGCTCTTGAACTAAATCCCTCTATTAATGAAAGCTAACACACCATACGCCTTCTTAACAACTCTATCAACCTGGGTGGCAGCTTTCAGGGAACTGTGGACATGAACCCCAAGATCCCTCTGCTCCTCCACACTGCCAAGAATCTTTCCTTTAACCCTGTATTCTGCTTTCAAGTTTTTTCCTTCCAAAATGAATCACCTCACACTTTTCAGGGTTAAACTCCATCTGCCACTTCTCAGCCCAGCTCTGCATCCTATAAATGTCCCTTTGTAACCTAGAACAGCCCTCCACACTGTCCACAACATGACCCACCTTCGTATCATCTGGGAATTTACTAATCCACCCTTCCACTCCTCCTTCATCCAAATCATTTACAAAAGTCACAAATAGAAGAGGACCCAGAACAGAACCTTGTGGTACACCACTCGTAACTGAGCACCATGTTGAATATTTTCCGTCCACTACCACCCTTTGTCTTCTAAGGGTCAGCCAATTCTGAATCCAATCTGCCACATTTCCCCCTATCCCAGGCCTCCTTACCTTCTGCATGAGCCTACCATGGGGAACCTTCTCAAATGCCTTACTTAAATCCATGTATACCACATCCACTGCTCTACCTTCATCCACGTGTTTGGTCATCTCTTCAAATAATTCAATAAGGTTTGTGAGGCATGATCTATCCCTCACAAATTCATGCTGACTATCACGAATCAAACCATGCCTTTCCAAGTGATCATAATTCCGATCTCTCAGAGCCCTTTCCAATAAGTTGCCCACCACTGACGTAAGACTAACTGGCCTGTAATTTCTCGGGTTATCCTTATTCCCTTTTTTGAACAAGGGAATGACGTTTGCCCCTCTCCAATCTTCCGGCACAGGTGGACAGTGAGGACAAAAAGATCATCGCCAAAGGACCTGCGATCTCTTCCCTCGCTTCCCATAGAATCCTTGGATAAATCCCATCAGGCCCAGGGGACTTATCTATCTTCAACTTCCGCAAAATTCTTAGTACGTCTTCCTTACTAACAGCAACCTCCCCTAGCCTACCAGCCTGTTTCACACTGGCCTCCTCTACAGCTAGGTCCCTCTCAGTTGTGAATACCGAAAAAAAGTATTCATTAAGGATCTCTTCTACCTCTTTAGGCTCCGTGCACAAATTCCCTTTAAAAGCCTTGTTCGGCCCTACCCTTTCTCTGGTCATTCTCTTATTCCTCACGTACGTGTAAAAAGCCTTGGAATTTTCCTTGATCCTATCTGCCAAGGTTTTCTCATGCCCCCTTATAGCTCTCCTAAGCCCTTTCTTCAGCTCCTTCCTGGATAACTTGTATCCCTCTAGAGCCTTTTCCATTCCTTATTTCCTAAACCTTACGTAAGCATCCATTTGGACCATATCCCTCTAAACCCTTCCTATTCATATACCCATCCAGATGCCTTTTTAAATGTTGTAATCTTACCTGCCACCACCATTTCCTCTGGCAGCTCATTCCATATACCCACCACCCTCTGCGTGAAAAGGTTGTCCCTTAGGTTCCTTCTATGTTTTTTTCCCCCCTCATCTTGAACTTATGCTCTCTAGTTTTGGACTCCCCCACCTTGGGAAAAAGACCTTGCCTATTTATCTATCCATGCCCCTAATGATTTTATAAAATCTCTATAAGGTCATCCGTCAACCCGCCAAGCTCCAAGGAAAATAGCCCCAGCCTATTCACCCTCTCCCTGTAGCTCAAACCCTCCAACCCTGGCAACATCCTCGTAATCTTTTCTGAGCCCTTTCTAGTTTCACAACATCCTTCCTATAGGAGGGAGACTTGAATTGCACGCAGTATTCCAAAAGTGGCCGAGCCAATGTCCTGTACAGCCATAACATGACCTCCCAACTTCTATGCTCAATGCACTGACCAATAAAGGCAAGCATACCAAATGCCTTCTTCATTATCATGTCTACCTGGGACTCCACTTTCAAGGAACTATGAACCTGCACTCCAAGGCCTCTTTGTTCACTCCCAGGACCTTACCATTAAGTGTATAATGAAACGTTAACTCTGTTGTTTCCTTCACAGATGCTGCCAGACCTGCTGAGCTTTTCCAGCAACTTTGTTTTTGCTCCTTGTTTTAAGTCCTGTCCATTTGCCTGTCCGAAATGCAGCACCTCACATTTATCTAAATTAAACTACATCTGCAACTCCTCAGCCCATTGGCCCATCTGATCAAGATCCTGTTGTACTCATGAGGTAACCTCCTTTGTTATCCACTACACCTCCACTTTTGGTGTTATCTGCAAACTTACTAACCATTCCTCCCAAGTTCATCCAGACAAGTGGAAAATATTCCATGTCAAATTTTATTTGCTTTTTCTAGAGGGTCAAAAAGTGTGGGGAGTTGAAAATTTCAGATTTTTGTTTCCTTTATTCTTGTATGGAATATGGGCTTTGCTGGAAAAGGCCAGCATTTGATGGCCAACCCTAGTTGTCCTTGAAATGATTGGTTCTCTAAAATATTGCAGAGGGTAGTTATGGGTCAACAACATTGCTGTTGTCAGTAAATATTCAGCCTCTAACCTTCTGTTGTAGCTAGGTTATTAATATGGCTGTCTAGTGAAGCACTCATTGCTGGTAATGTAGTTGATGTTGAGAGAAAGTAGTTGTTGTCTTGTTCGCAATAATTGTTGGTTGATGTTTGTAGTGTGCATGTTACCTTGAAGGATTGAAATAAGATTTTTTTTTAAACCAAACCTGAATAAATTCTGCAAAACATATCTTGTTCACTTTCTGGAATACCTACTCCTGTGTCATTTCTCAACAGGAATTTGAATACCATTCATCTTCCACACCACATTGAATTCAGAAAATAAACTGATCAGATTGATCTGTAGGGAAATATTTTAGTTTCCAGGATACTATTAGGGAATATGTTACAAAATATTCAAAATTAGTGTCTGAAAGTGTTATGAGATTATCTCTTAATTTTCAATTCTGATTTAAGTGCCACAGAGAACATCTCCAACAGCACCTAAGGTCACGAGAACACCAAATGTACCATCCTCAACGGGTATAAGGAAAAGTCAACACTTAGCAAGAAATGGAGCCAGTGATGCTGATGCCCAGATAATAGAGCTGAATCAACAGGTAAACTGTATCATTTTAGTGTTACAAGATAACCAACTACAAGGTATTCCACACAGACTGCCTAATCAGTAAAACCATGAGCATTCAGCTCCTGTTATTAAATGTCCCTAAATGAGAAAAAGAGAGAAAAATTCCATACACAAAAGTCTTGCACATTCAAGACACACTGGAAATGTAAAGAAAATAGACCATTGACTTAAACGATTGAAAGTTATGCTTCATGTTAAAACTTCCTAGCCATCCCTCATTTTTTTGAGACCTTGATACAAAATTCAGTTTGTGGGAGGTTATCTAATTAACTCTTTGATCAATATAAAAACTAAAAGAACTGCGGATGCTGTAAATCACAGACAAAAATGCAAAATTGCTGGAAAAGCTCAGCAGGTCTAGCAACATCTGTGGAGATAAATAAGAATTAACATTTCAGGTCCAGTGACCCTTCCCCAGAACTGATGATAGCTAGGAAAATGTCAGTTTATATGCAGAAGACGGTCGGTGAAGGGGGTAAGGAGTAAATGATAGGTGGGGATAGAGCTCAAAGAGAGAGAAAAGTAGTTGGACAGACAAGGGAGTGGATAATGATCTGGCTAGGAGGGTGAATAGCTATTAATGGGGACTGATAGTGGCTAACAATGGGGGTGGTGTGTATTAGCAGACAATGTGATAAGGCGGCCTGGTTGTGGGGGTTGGGGTGAAGACATGGGAGAGCACAAGCCCTAAAGTTAGAGCTGTTGGGAGTGAAGGATGAGTGGATCAGGGTGTCACAGAGAACGACCCCAGCAGAAGGCTGACAAGGAAGGTGACAAGGGAGGGGAAGGGAATGTGTGTCTGGAGGTGGCATCTTGCTGGAGGTGGCGGAAATGGCGGCTAACGATCCTCTGGATGTGGATGCTGGTGGGATGGGAGGTAAGAACAAGGGGGACCTTATTACTGTTGTGGGAGGGAAAGAGAGGGGCTGAGGGCTGAAGTGCTCGGGAATCCTCCATTGTGGAAGAAAGTGGACATTTTGGAGGCTCCCTTGTCAAGGTTGGCATCATCGGAACAAATGTGACAGAGATGGAGGAACTGGGAGAATGAAATAAAGTCTTTACAGGAAGCAGGGTGCGAGGATGTATCGTCCAGGTAACTGTGGGAGTCGGTGGGCTTATAGTGGATGTTGGTGGCCAGTCTATCCCCAGAAATGGAAACAAATATCGAGGAAGGGAAGGGAGGAGTCAGTGAAAGAGCTGTGGATGAGGGTTGGAATAGGACTGGAAAAAGGAATATTCCACATACCCCACAAAGAGACAGGCATAACAGGGACCATGCACTACCCATGGCCACCCCTCTGACCTGAAGCAAATGAGAAGAGTTAAAAGGAAAGTTGTTTAAGGTGAGGACGAGCTTGGCCAGGCAGAGGAGGATGGTAGTGGGTGGAGACTGTTCGGGCCTTTGCTCCAGGAAGAAGTGGAGTGCCCTGAGACCATCCTGGTGGGGGATGGACGTGTAAAGAAGTTGCACATTCATGGTAAAGAGGAGGTGGCTGGAACCCGCAAACTGGAAATATAGAAACTTAGAAGCGTCCGAAGATTCGCAGACCTAATGGGTCTGCCCAGGCAGTCCTGTTTGTGGATCTTGGGAAGGAGGTAGAAGCGAGATGTGCGGGATTGGGGAACTATCAGCTTGGAGGCAGTCGAGGGATGAGATCAGCATACAAAATGACATTGGTGACCATGGTTAACACAGTGACCTGATGTTCCATCATGGAGTCATTGTCCAGGGGAGATAGGAGGACATATCATGAGAGTTGGTGCTCAGCCTCTGCAATGTCGACGTCAGTCTGGCAGACAACAACAGTCCCTGCCCACTTACTTCTGTAATTCCTTGGACACTGTGCCAGTTTCAAAATTTCCAGTTGGTGGGCTCCAGCTGCCACCCCTTTTACCATGGATGTGCAGTTCCTTTACACATCCATTCCCCAGCAGGATGATCTCAGGGCTCTCAGCTTCTTCCTGGAGCAAAGGCCTGAACTGTCTCCATTCATCACCATCCTCCTCTGCCTGGCCAAGCTCATCCTTGCCCTGAACAACTTTTTTTTTAAACTCTTCTCACTTTCTTCAGGTCAGAGGAGTGGCCATTGGTATGTGCATGGTTCCGAATTATGCCTGTCTCTTTGTGGGGTACGTGGAACATTCTTTGTTCCAGTCCTGTTCCGGACACTACCCACAATTCTTTCTCTGGTCTGTTGGTGATATCATCGGTGCTGCTTCCCTCTCACATCCAGAATTGGAAAAGTTTATCGATTTTGCTTCCAATTTCCACCCTGCTCTCACCCTTACGTGGCGAGTGAAGATGATTCTTCCCTTTCTCAACGTCTCTGTTTCCATTTCTGGGGATAGGATGTCCTCCAATATCCACTATAAACCACCGAATCCCACAGCTACCTGGACTATACATCCTCACACCCTGCTTCCTGCAAAGACTATATTCCATTCTCCTAGTTCCTCCATCTCCGTCGCATTTGTTCCTTCGACAAGGGAGCCTCCGAAATGTCCACTTGCTTCCTCAACCGAAGATTCCCTACCACTGTTGTTAACAGGGCCCTCAGCCAGGTCTGACCCATCTTGCAATTCAGCCCTCAGCCCCTCTCTTTCCCTCCTGCAACAGTGATAAGGTCCCCATTGCCCTTATCTACCATCCCACCAGCATCCACACCCAGAGGATCATTAGCCACCATTTCTGCCACCTCCAGCGAGATGCCACCTCCAGACACACATTCCCTTCCCCTCCCTTGTCAGCCTTCCGCAGGGGCTGTCCCTCTGTGACACCCTGATCCACTCATCCTTCACTCCAAAAGCAGCCCCCCACAGCCTCACGGCACCTTCTGTTGAAACCGCAGAAGGTGTAACAGCTGTCCATTTGCCTCCTTCCTCCTCAGTGTCCAAGAGCCCAAACATATCTTCCAGGTGAAGCAGTGCTTTACCTGCACTTCTCACAATCTAGTCTACACCACTCACTGCTCACAGTGTGGTCTTCTCTACGTTGGGGAAACAAAGTGTAGACCGGGTGACCACTTTGCTGTACACTTGTGTTCATTTTGCAAAAAAAGGCCCTGAACTTCCAGTTGCCTGCCACCCTGTTCCCTGGCCAACATTTCTGTCTCAGGCTTGCTTTAGTGCTTCAGCAAAGCTCAGTGCAAGCTGGAAGAATAACACCTTATTTTCCCCGTGGGGACCCTGCAGCCTTCTGGATTGAATATCATGTTCAATAACTTTAGGGCTTGTACTCTCCCATGTCTTCACTCCAACCCCCACAACCAGGCCGCCTTATCACATTGTCTGCTATTACACACCACCCCCATTGTTAGCCACTATCAGTCCCCATTAATAGCTATTCACCCTCCTAGCTAGATCATTATCCACTCCCTTGTCTGTCCAACTGCTTTTCTCTCTCTTTGGGCTCTATCCCCACCTATCATTTACTCCTGACCCCTTCCCCCACCCTGTCTTCTACATATAAACTGACATTTTCCTAGCTGCCATCAGTTCTGAGGAAGAGTCACTGAACCTGGAACCTTAACTCTGATTTCTCTCCACAGATGCTGCCAGTCCTGCTGAGCTTTTCCAGCAGTTTCTATTTTTGTTTCTGATCATAATGTTGTGTATTATTTTTGTCCTTTCACTAAATGAGTTGTTGGATTCTTGGGGAGAAAATTGACTAACAATAAACTTAAGTTTACAAGGTATCTGTGTTCTTGTAATGGATAATTCCATCTGACTAATCAAGCCTCTTTCTTCCAATTGATAATGTAGAATTTGTACTGACAGGAATTTTTCTTAATTTATTCAGTTTTCTAAAAGGGCAGATGATTCTAAGTAATACATCTGAGAAAACTGATTGTTTGCCCCAAATGTGCAGTACATTTTTAAAACCATTACAGTGTAGATGCTGAGTGAGTTGTTCCTTTGCATAGGGAAATCTAGAGCACACGTACTCAAGTTATTTTAAGACAAGTGTGAGGAATTTATTCTGTAAGCAGCAATAATAATTGGGATTCTCTACCCCAAACGATAGTGGAGGTTGGGTCGTTGAATGTATTCAAAGTTGAGTAGAATTTTGATCTACGAGAAATTTGAGCGTTACGGAAGGCAGAAAGTAGAGATCGGCAATAATCTTGTTGAATGGAGGAGTAGGTTCAAGGGGTTTAATGCCCTAATCTCTCATGTTCATATGCTATGTTAGTTAAGTACTTGCAGAATGAGGTATAGGTTATTAATTTAGCCTCTTGACCTCAATAATACTGTGTCTTTTAAACCAAAATGAGCTGTACGTAAGATATTTACAATCTATATTAGTGCAAAGGTAGAAAGTACTGTGGCCAAATTTGTGGATGACACTAAAACAGGGAAGTAAGTTGCAATGAAGAAGTAAGAAATTTACAAGTGGGGAGGGATAGGTTAGGGGAAGGGTCCAAACTTTTGCAGATGAAGTTTAACGTGGATAAGTGTGAGGTTGTCCATTTTGATAGAAATAGAAGGACAACTTATTGTTTAACTGGTGAGAAGCTTCAGAGTGCTTTGGTGCTGTGGGATCTAGGTACCCTTATGCTGAATTGCAGAAAACCAGTATGCAGATAATAAAAAAGACAAATGGGATTTTGGCATTAATTGGTAAAGGAATAGAGTATAAAAGCAGGGAAGTGTTGCTTCAACTGTACAAGGTATTAGAGACTGCACCTGGAGTATTGCATACAATTTTGGTCCCCGTACTTGAGGAGGGATGTAATTGCATTGGAGGCAGTTCAGAGGAGGTTCACCAGATTGATGCCAGAGATCAGGGATTTGTCATATGTAGGAAGATTGAGTAGTTTAAGCTTATACTATCTGGACTTTAGAAGATTGATAGGAAATCAGATGCTAAGTGAAACAAAGAGGAAATGAAAGATGTGTTTGACAGGAAAAGTAAAAAGCCAAGGAATAATACATTTTATTTTTGAAATTTCCAACACTAATTTAAATCTGCTGGAATTAGACTGTACACTTTTAAAAGTTCCTTTCCTGTAAAATAGGTTGTTTAGCCATGATTAACACACATTAAACCATGCAAAATGTATTTACATTGAAATGAACAAACCCTAACTTTGACAAGTCTTGTTGGTATCTGTTATGTGAGCATCACATGTTCTCTTAGTTCTGCGTGATGTCAAGTCTCTTGGTGACGCACTGTCATAGCAAAAATTTTGGTAAAGTCTTACCTTTATTTGTGCTCTTAAACCTGGGTCATTGTTTTATTTCAGTTTACATGAAAAATGTGAACAGCACAAAAATTCATTTGAAAATGTCCAGTATTGGGCAATGGATTTTAAAGCTCTCTTTCAGGAGAAATTGATTCCAATTAGGTTTTGTCTAGGGTTATGTTGTGATGTCTAAAGTGGTCCAGAGACGCCCCCACATATTGACTCATATAAAGAAACTATCACAGCCAGCAATTAATGTAAGTATAATTGAGCACTGCAGAGTTAAACTTCATCCTTAACTCAAATGATCCAAGGACTGGATTCATTGTAACTTTATATAGTGTTTATAGCTATGTAAACCATATACCAGACATAGCAAATGTGAGGAGGGAGGAGGAATCTACTATTCAGCTGATCATGCCTGGTCCTCCATTATAGACCATGAGATTGAGAAGCAGAATTATGGTCATTTGGCCCATCAAGTCTGCTGCACATTCTATGATGGCTGATATGTTTCTCAACCCCATTCTGCTGCCTTCTCTGTGTAACCTTTGATCCCTTTGCTGATCAACGACCTATCTATCTCTGTCTCAAAAACACTCAGTGACGTAGCCTCCATAGCCCTTTGCGGCAGTGAGTTTTACATATTCACGATCCTCCACATCTCAGTTCTAAAGAGTTGTCCTGTCACTCTGAGACTGTGCAGTTATATCCCAGTCTCTCCACAACCAGTAGAAACAACATCTCCACATCCACTCTATCCAGATCTGTCAGTATTCTGTAAGCTTCAGTCACATTTCCCCTGCTTCTAAATGCCATCAAGTACAGATTTGGAGTCCTCAACCACTACCCATGTGACGAGCCCTTCATTTCTGGGATCATTCTTGTAAACCTCCTCTGGGCTCCCTCCAAAGCCAGCGCACCTATCCTTGGATATGGGGCCCAAAACTGCCCACAATATTCTGAAAATGTTCTGATGAGTTACAAGCTCGGCAGTATATCTCTGCTCTTGTGTTCCAGCCCACTTGAAATGAGTCTAACATTGCATTTGACTTCCCTACTGCCAACTGAAGCTGCTTGTTAACCCTAAGAGAATCTGAATTAGGATTCCCAAGTTGCTTTGTGCTTCAGATTTCCAAAGCCTTTCTCCATTTACAAAATAGTCTACACCTCTCCTCTTCTCACTAAAGTGCATAACCACACACTTTCCCACATTGTGTTCTATCTACCTCTTCTGCATCCATTCTCCCAGTCTTGTCAAAGTCTTTCTGTAGCCTCCTGCTTCCACAATGCTACCTGTCCCTGCAGCTATCTTTGTTGCAAAGTTTAAAAATGAAACAATGCCTGCAGTTCCTTCATCCAGATCATTAATATATGACGTGAATAGTTGTGATCCCAACACAGACCCCTGTGAACCTCCACTAGTCACGGGCTGCCATCCTGAAAACAATCACCTTATAAACATAGAACATAGAACAGTACAGCACATTACGGGCCCTTTGGCCCACGATGTTGTGCTGACCTATTATCCTACTAAGATCAAACTACCCTGCATACCCTACATTTTACTATCCTCCATGTGCCTATCCAAGAGTCGCTTAAAAGTCTCTAAAGTATCTGACTCCACTACCACTGCTGGCAGCGCATTCCACACGCCCACCACTCTGTATAAAGAATCTACCTCTGACATCTCCCCTATACCTTCCTCCAATCAACTTAAAATTATGCCCCCTCGTAATAGTCATTTCCACCCTGGCAAAAAGTCTCTGACTACCCACTCTATCTATGCCTTTCATCATCTTGTACACCTCTATCAAGTCACCTCTCATCCTTCCTTGTTCCAATGAAAAAAGCCCTAGCTTCCTCAACCTTTCCTCGTAAGACCTGCCCTCCAGTCCAGGCAGCATCCTGGTAAATCTCCTCTGCACCCTCTCTAAAGCTTCCATATCCTTCTTATAATGAGGTGACCAGAACTGAACACAATATTCCAAGTGTGTCTAACCGGAGTTTTATAGAGCTGCAGCATAACCTCATGGCTCTTAAACTCAGTTCCCCTACCTTATCCCCACTCTTTGTCTTCTGCCAGTCACCCAATCCTCTATCCATGCCAGTACCTTCCCCATACCACCATGGGCTCCTATCTGATTTAGCAGTCTCCTGTGCAGCAGTTTGTCCAAGGCCTTCTAGAAATCCAAATAGATCACGTCAGCTGGCTGTCCTTTGTCAAACTTGCTCATTACCTCCTCAACGAATTATAACAGGTTTGTCCGGTATGACCTCCCCTTGATGAAGCTGTGCTGATCCAGCTGTATTTTACCATGCATTTCCAAGTATTCTGCAATCTCATCCGTAATAACAGATTCTAAAATTTTAGCAACGACTGAGGTCAGGCCAATCAGCCGATAGTTTCCTGTCTTCTGCCTCCCACCGTTCTTAAGCAGGGTTATCCAGATGTCTGGTACCCTCCCTGACTCTAGTGATTCCTGAAAGATCACCTCCATTACCTCTACAGTCTCCTCAGTTATCTCCTTCAGAACTCTGTTGTGTCATCCATCTGTTCCAAGTGATTTATCCATCTTCAGGTCTTTCAGCTTCCCCAGCATTATCTCCTTAGCCATGACCACTATGTTCACCTTGACTGTCTTGAAGTTCTAGTATGCTCTGGTGTCTTCCACTGAAAACGAATGCAAAGTACCTGTTCAGTTTCTCCACCATTTCTTTGTTCCGCATCACTGCTTCTCCACCCTCATTTTCCAGTGGTCCAATGTCCACTCTTGCCTTTCTCTTACCTTTTGATATCTTAAAAAAAACTCCTCTTTTATATTACTAGTTAGTTTATTTTTCCTATTTCATCTTCTGCCCCGTTATTGCATTTTTTTAGTTATCCTCTGCTGGTTTTTAAAGATTCCTAATCTTCTTGCTTCCTGCTAATCTTCATCACATTGTATGCTTTTTCTTTTGCTTTTATGCTTTTCCTGACTTCCCTTGTCAGCCACAGTTGCCTCGTCTTCGCCTTAGTATGTTTCTTCTTCCTTGGGATGAATTTCTGCTGTGCATTCAGAATTACCTCCAGAAACTCCTGCCGTTGCTGCTCCACTGTCTTCCCTGCTAGGCTTCCCTTCCAGGTAACTCTGGCCAGCTCCTCCCTCATGTCTTTAAAGTTACCTTTACTCAATTTTAATACTCAATTTTCTGCCTCAAATTGAGCGTGAATTCTATCAAATTGTGATTACTGTCTTCTAGGGGTTCCTTCACCTTCAGCTCCCAAATCAAGTCTGGTTCTTCATACATCACTAAATCCAGAATTACCTGTTCCCAGTGGGTTCTACCACACCCTGCTCCAAAAAAAAAATCTCGTTGACATTTCACAAATTCCTTTTCTTAGTATCTGCTGCCAACCTGCATTTCCCATATTGAAGTCCCCCATGATTATTGTAATAGTGCCTTTCTTACAAGCCTTTTCTGTCACCTGATTTATTTTCTTCCCCACATCCTGACTATTGTTAGTAGACCTGTACGTAACTCCCATCAAGGTCTTTTCTACCTTTGCGGTTCCTCAACTCTACCAGCACAGATTCTATGCTTTCTATCTCTTCTTGCTATCCACTTAATTTCATTCCTTACTAACAAAGCAACCCCACCTCTCTGCCCAGTTGCTTGTCCTTTCAATAGGATGTGTGTGCGTCCACCTGTCAGATTAATTTAAATCCTCTCCCAACAGGTCTTGCAAACTGCATTGTTGAGGGCATTGGTCTTGAATCTGTTGAGGTGCAGACTGCCCAGCTGATCAGCTACTACCTCCCTCACTGCATGTTCCAGGAGTCTAACACCCTTCCTCCTGAACCATCTCTCCTGCCACCCATTTGCCTGTTTCCTCTTATTTTGATGTTCGCACAAGGCCCCAGAAAGTATCCCGTAGTTCCTACTTTTTTATGGAGGTAGGAAGCACACTAATATCTGTGCAGCATGTTATTCTTCTTTCTAACTTCTCTCCTTAGAATACTTTGTAGCTGCAATGACATGCTTGCCATGTCACCTATGAACTAACATACTGTCCTGGCAGCCTCAGATACACACACATTTTACACTAACTTTTGAATCCTGTATCACTGTTGCTATCCCAGTCATCCTTCTGCTTGGGTACAGCTTAGCCATCTGTGGTAGCATGGTTTTGCTACTGGCTGTCCTCCTCAGAGGACCACACTCTCACCAATGTTCTTTTAATATCAAGGTCAGAAGTCACATGATACCAGGTTATAGTCCAACAGGTCTGTTTGAAATCACAAGCTTTCAGAGCGTTGCTTTTTCAGGTGAAGTCAACATTTCACCTGATGAAGGAGCAGTGCTCTGAAAGCTTGTGATTTCAAATAAACCTGTTGGACTATAACCTGGTATCATGTGACTTCTGACCTTGGCCAACACCAGCACCTCCACATCATGGCTTTTAATATCAGTTAAAGAGAGACGTGGAGTATGCCTGGACTTCCTTGATTGTCTCATGGTCGTCTTTTCCTTCTCCGCCTGCACTCATTTGAAGTGTGGCATGACCACCTCCTGAAACTTGCTGGCCACAAAACTCTTAGCTTTGTGTTTGCATGAGAATGACGTCACCTATTTCTTAACTTCCTAAATTCACAGCTTGAGTTTCTCCATATTTATATTAGATATATATTGAAAAGTCAGCTGCTTATGAGGTTATAATGAAGCAATGTTCTTAATAACATATTCCATTTTGATTTCTAATAGCTAATGGAATTGAAATTGACGGTAGATGGACTTGAAAAGGAGAGAGACTTTTACTTCAGTAAGCTAAGGGATATTGAACTCATCTGCCAAGAACACGAAAGTGAGAACATCCCTGCAATTCAGAGGATTGTGGAAATTCTATATGCAACTGAAGTATGCTTTGCTGTTTATATATATTTTTAGTTCATATTCAACACTTCATATTGTAATAGACAATAGTACACTTTTTAACTTGGTTACCTCAAGAACAAAGTGTTTTTTTTGGTCGTGCATTTTGTTGAAGACTTTGTTTTGTACTTTCCAATTTTTTTTTCTCCTCCTTGGCAGTCGCACCTCATTATTCTTAAGAAAATTGTTATTTGGTCATTCCCATTATATTAAACACATTATTTTAGGATGAGGTGTAAGAATCATCTTTGAACGCAATAAGATTGTCCAGTGTCAGGCAAGAGCCTCTGAAGATAGGGTACTCAACCTCATTACAAAGGAACTTTGAATCATATGTGGATTTCACAAGCTTCAAAATCTCCCCTCCCCCTACCGCATCCCAAAACCAGCCCAGCTCGTCCCCGCCTCCCTAACCTGTTCTTCCTCCCACCTATCCCCTCCTCCCACCTCAAGTCGCACCCCCATCTCCTACCTACTAACCTCATCCCGCCCCCTTGACCTGTCCGTCCTCCCTGGACTGACCTATCTCCTCCCTACCTCCCCACCTACACTCACCTTTACTGGCTCCATCCCCGCCTCTTTGACCTGTCTATTTCCTCTCCACCTATCTTCTCCTCTATCCATCTTCTATCCGCCTCCCCCTCTCTCCCTATTTATTTCAGAACCCCCTTCCCCTCCCCCATTTCTGAAGAAGGGTCTAGGCCCGAAACGTCAGCCTTACTGCTCCTATGATGCTGCTTGGCCTGCTGTGTTCATCCAGCTCTGCACCTTGTTGTCTTTGAATCATACTGTTTGTTAAAAGTATGTCTCCTGTTTTTGACCTTAGGAGTTTTATGGCCTCTGTAGCATCAACTCTGTTTAATCTCTTTCTTGAGCCTTTGGAGGTGATGTTGGCAAAGTGACAGTGTCACTGGATTGGGTATCTGCAGACCAATAGACCAATGCTAATGTGCTGAGGATGTGGGTGGTATCCAGATTTGAAAAGCTTAGTAATGATGACCGTGGAACTATCATCAATTGTCATAAAACTCGATAAATTCACTAATGTCCCTTGGGGAAGAACATCTACCATTCTTGCCCAGTCTGGCCTACATGTAACTCCAGATCACAGCACTGTGGTTGACTCTTAATAGCCTTCTGTAATGGCCAAGAAAGACATTCAGCTCATGAGCAATGCTGGCCTCATCAGAAATGGCTAAATTCCACAAAATAATAAAGGAGAAAGAAAGGTAAGCTGTAAACATGCCTGAAGCATTGTCAGATGTACAAAATGTTTCATCTTATGGGGTAGAGCATAACTAAAGGTAATCAGTGTAAGATGGTCACGAAAACATTGATTAGAAATTTTAGGAGAAAATTCTTCACAAAAAGATTGGAGAGAAGGTGAGCTCGCAAAAAGGGGAACAAATGCTATGAATGCATTTGAGGGAATGCTTGGCAAGCGTACATGGAGAAGAGAATAGAGGGTTATATTTTAAGATTTGAGGGATATGAGTAGGCTCAAGTGGAGCATAAACGCCAGCATAGACTAGTTGGCAAAATGACATCTTTCTTAGCTGTACATTATTTACTGTAAGTTTTTCTCTTCTCTAGAAAGTATTTAGAGATGGTACTTTCTGGAAAACTTGAGTTTGCCAGCCTTAATTGGCCACTTAGTTCCCTCCAGTCTCGGCATTGCCCACCTGCCCCCTTGATCTAGCGAAAGAATTGAAATGTGCATTAACTCATTACCACGTGTGTGTATTTTACTGATGTATCCCCGTTGATTTTCATAGTTCTATGATTCCCAGTGTAGCCCTTTACCTGTATAACTTAGATCTTAAATGTAAGAAATCATCCACTTATGATCGTGATGCCTTTATTAAATGTGTACTGTCTTGTTTTGCATTATGACCAACATTCAGTGTTACTTCAACTGATATTGAAGTTGGTGAGAATAGATAGTCCACACTAATTTGTGATGTGGTACAACTCCCTCTAAGCACCAAATTTGGCAGCCAGCTAATTTATTTCTGCTTCATCTAACCCTTTATGATGAAGAAAATCCTTTTCATATCTCTTATTTTAACTATAACAATTAGGTAAAATGAAGTCTGGGGGAATTAATCAAACTTAATGATACAGAGGAGGATAAGGGATATGGAGTTTCAATTAAGAAGAGAATGGAGATGTTAGGACTGTTCTTCTTTTAACAGACTAAATATAACTTCTCGAGATACAATTGGGAAAACCTTTCAAAACCTATTCTCTCCGGTGAGTCTATAAATAATCAAAGTTTATAGATATAGGTTTGAAATCATTGCAGAAAATCTAGAGGAGTGAAGAAAAATGTTTTTACTCAGTTGTCAGACTCTGGAATGTCCTACCTGAAAGGAAAGTGGGGGCTGACTCAATAACTAATTTTAAAAGGGAATTAAATAGAGACTCAAGGATAAGAAGCTTACAGAATTATATACAAAAAGACTGGGATGTGGGACTAACAACATTGCTCTTTTAAGAGCCAGCACAGACATGACTGAATGAATGGCCATAGTACATTCCTGTAATTCTATGAAAATTTGAATCCAGATATGTTTTGCTGTTTGTCAAAAACATATATGTGGAGCCACAATTTAGAGGAAATTCAGCACCTTTTCCTGGACATCTTGTGCTTAATTCATTTATTGCTTAATTCATTTATTACTTTATCTGAGGTCCAGCGAACCAAATTATCAGTTTGCATTGACATTTATGGCTTTGGAGATGAACTTAGTTTGCTCATTAATGAATATTTCTTTAAAATTGTTAGTGTCAGTGTGGTATCTTGTGATAACATATTTACAAAGCACAATGGCACATCATTGGCAGCAGGTGCATTCCAGTAATTGCAATATAGTCAATTTTCAAATATCTGAGTCAGATTCTGTTTAATCTTGCTTTTTGGAAGTATCTTGAGGCATTTATCATATTGAAAGTGCTATATAAATGTGACTTGTATGTTTCAAGCTACTGAATCAGTTTTCTGTTGTGATTTTGTTTGACAGGAAGGATTTGCTCCTCCAGAAGATGATGACATTATAAATCACCCAGATGATGACCAGGATGAATACTAAGTGTAGATAATTATTACCCATTTCTCCCTATCTGTCTTCTCTCTGTGATTGAGATCCCTACCCAGGCTGTTTACTAACATTATTTTCAATTAAGTTTGTACAGCCACAGCACAATCACAATAATTCTCTGCATTCTGTATCACAGATTGCTAAAGCTGTCATATTCATCACTATTACTGGCAGACTGTATTATAAAATATATTTAATTTGTATATTTTTCTTAAATGAATAACTTGCACTTTGGTTTGAAAGTATTCGGAAATCCATGATGCAAGTTGATTGCCTTTGTGTTATATGCAGCATGTAGTTTGGGTTTCTTTTAAAATTGAAACAGCTTGGATATACTTGGGAGCATTTGCTGACATCTGAAAGACCTGCGATTTTAGTAGATAACCTATGACACAGAAGATCTCTTCACGGTTTCGTGCAAATTGCTGACTTTTAAACACAGGAAATCTGACTGGCTTTGCAGAATGAAAAGTCTGGAGTCTAAAGTTTAATAGTGCTTTTAAGAGAATTTATTTATTATAGTTTGCTATAAACATGAGAATAAGGGATGCTTTTATGATGCAACATCGATCAAATTAACTTGGTTCCGGCTGCTTTTCATCAGAAACCACTAAAATATGCCTTTGACATCTCATTGCAGCACCTTCTTATACTGTGCCCATGACACTAGTGTGCGAAAAAACTTGCATCTGTGAAGTTTTATTTAAAATAAATGTGAAAATGACTGAAGGACGTAGCTTGTTTTTATTCTCCATCTTACAAACTAAACATGAAATTCCATGAGTAATTCTGTAGAACTTGCTTCGCTTGCTAAAGAAAGATTACCTCACTTTGACTTCCATCTTCACAAATGATGACTGTGCATGTGGGGCAGCTTGTAAATATTTCCTGTAATTTCATTGGATGGTAATTTCAGTAGTAAGTTTAATTTTTTAAAATTCATTCACTGGATGAGGTCGTCACTGACTAGGTCAGCGTTTATTGCCCATCCCTAATTGCCCACAGTTTTCCAGAAAATCGACAATGAATTCATGGTCACCATTAATTTTTTTTGATTGAATTCAAATTCCACGATCTGCCATGGTGGGATTGTAACCCGGATGCCAAGAACATGACTTGGGTCTCTAGGTAACAGTCCAGCAATAATACCACTGGGCCATCCCTGATTAATGTCAAATTTTTCTGAAAGCATCTCCTGTTATTAATATCAAATTATTACTGATCTGCTAGTGAATCAGTTAACATATGAAATGTAATCACTTTTGTTGGATTTACTCCACACAAAATGCAAAATCACATCAAGCTACCGATATGTGTGTTCTGAGAGGAATGCAGACAATTTGGCAATATAAACATGACGATGCCAGACATGTGTACAAATATGGGCACAAATAATCTTGAATTTTGAAACCAGAAAATGTTTAAATGTATGACTAATGATACAGACCTAAAAGTAATGCCCCAGAGTTTGATAGTATTAATAAGCAAATTGTCAGTGTTCATCGCTTTAGTCTTCTTGACGCTGACAGCAACTTCAAATCTGCACAAAAGCAATTAAAAGTGAAAATTGCCAGTAATTCTCCCCTTCCCACAAACTGCACAGTTGAAATCTTCCCAGAGCATGCATCCATCCAAGATTGTCTTTTATATGAGCTGTAACTGGGCTTTAATGCCACATTAAGTACACAATTAGAGCCAAACTGCCTCACTTTCCATGAAAGCTAATTCTTTGTTGAATATCGTGTAGCTCCATTATGATTTAACATTTTGCATTTTTTAAAGGCTTGACACTTTAGCTTCTACATGAATCTCGTTCATGACCCAGACACACATTTTGGCACTCCAATAGTTAAACAGACTAAATTATTCACCACCTCATGTACTGTCTGTTAGGATGTGCTGAAGTACTTATTCTGCTTGATGATGTTAGTGCTGTTGAATACTTGGAGATTAACTTGATTTGGCACTAGATTAAAACCGACTAGAATAAGTGCCAAAGTTATTCCAGCACATCAACAGTAAACACCTTCATGAATGAACTTTCCCATCAAATAATCCTGTTGAAAGTTCTTTGAGAGAAGGACTCAAACAAATTCAAGAACAGATTTGTCCTGCATTGAAGGGATTGTAGCTTTTTCCCCCTGAAAGCATCAATACTGACTGGCACAAGATGTAATTCTAATTATTCAGGGAACACTTGCATTGAAATTCTTTGAGAGCTGATCTTGTCATTTGCTCATCTAATACTCTTCCTGCCTAGTTTAATAATCCATGGGATCCCTACAGTGTGGAAACAAGCCATTCAGCCCATCAAGTCCACACCAACACTCTGAAGAGCATCCCACCCAGATTCTCCCCCCTACCTTATCCATGTAACCGTGCATTTCCCATGGGTAATCCACAGAATCTACACATCCCTGGACACTATGGGCAATTTAGCATTGCCAATCCACCTAACCTGCATATATTTAGACTGTGGGAGAAAGTGCGTGCAGACTCCACACAGACAGTCGCCTGAGGCTGGAATTGAACCCAGGTTCCTGATGCTGTGAGCCAGCAGTGCTAACCAGTGAACCACCATGCCACCTTATGTATATCAATTGTTTCATAAACTTTTCACGTATGGATGTATTTATTTTCTAAGGAACTTGACTCCTTTGAGTTACATTTTTGTTGAACTTTGGTGTTAACTTTCCCATTAATGTCTATTTGTGATAGAATTTAGTTTTATGAATGTGATCCTGATTTCACAATTGAGCATATAAAAGAAGGATATTTAAAATTTATTCTTGGATTCCATTTTGTATATCAAGTTCTAAAAGGCCTTATTTCAATGGTTTGACCTAAATTTTATTTTTAGTAATAAATATTTTATTGGGTAAATTGGTTGAATTGTTTGAGACATCCTGTTCTCTTCCCTTTGCACCTTTTACTCCTTTGTCTGTTCGTGGGTTTTTTTTAACCAATTATAAATTGTTTATTGTTGCATACAATTTAATCAATAATTTAACTTTTTTTGTGCCTCAGCAGCTTACTTCTTTAACTGTTTGCTGGATGTCCAGACTCGGAACACTGATTTTTAGCATGCTGCCCTATCTTTCACTTTTGGGATTTGTTTGTCTGCAGGTCAACTGGATCCTGCTACTATTATTCCCAAAGTTCTACAATGTAGATTGGTAAGGAACAGTTAAATACCATTTGGCTTCTTGAGCCTGTTGCACTTTTCAGTTAACTGGTGGCTGATCTATACCTTGATTAACTTCCCGCCTAATGTACCATTCAGATTTGAAATTATCGATTGACTTAGCCTCAGCAGCTCTGTCTGGGGTAGACTGGTACAACTTTGTGAAAAATTGCTGTTTGATATCAATCCTGATTACCCTAGTTCTAATTTTAAGGTTTTGGCTCTCTTGTTCTGGACTCTCCCTACCCAACGCCCGACACACACACACCAGATAAAATAGTTTCAGCCTATCTGCTAAATCAGCTCCACTATCTTAAATATTTCAGTTTTTTTTTTCAAATATTAAGAGAATATAATCCAGTCTGTGCAGTCTCTCCTTGTTGTTTAATAATTTTGGCCTGTGTCATTGTGATGATTCTGCAATGCACTTTGTCCAAGGTCCCAATATATCTTTCAGGCGATGTGACACTCTAACTGAATACAGTTTAAAATCTGAGATAGCAGGAACTGCAGATGCTGGAGAATCCGAGACAACAAGGTGCAGAGCTGGATGAACACAGCAGGCCAAGCAGCATCATAGGAGCAGAAAGGCTGACGTTTCGGGCCTAGACCCTTCATCAGAA